CCCCAAAACCCCAAAACCCCAAAACCCCAAAACCCCATTAGGAGCTTAAATTATTGTATGAAGATATCTTTATTAAATATATTATTCATTTTCTCTTCTTAGGATCAACAACTGGTTCTGGATCTTTCTTGACCTCAACTACTTCCTCTGGCAAATTGAATCTGGTCTTTACAACCAAGTTAAAAGTTAGACCTCTGCTAATTTGATATTGAGAAATCAGCTCCTTCGCTCTTGCAGCCTTTTTCTCCTCCGCTGTCTCAATTTTAGCTGGTTTCTTTGAGTGCTGCTATTAATTCAAGTTTTACTATTCTTAGAGGATCTATATTCTCATTTGAGCATAGTTTTTCTCGTATATTAAATAATTAGGTGCACTTGGTACATCAGGATAGTCAATGTTAATAGTTTTAGGAGCATTCTTATCCTCAACTGGTGCTCCTTTTTTAGCACCTGCAGCACCTTTAGCATCTTTTTTGGCATCACCCTTACCTGGGGGCTTTCCAGCTAAGTTAGCTTATAATTAAGATTATCTTGCAGCTTCTTCTTGTTACTTTCTCTAGAAAATTTCTTATTCAACTTAATTCAAATGTTCCACAAGAATTTACTTCTCTGCATCTTTCAACGAAGTATAGTAGTTGTCAAACATAAATTCTGGTTCTGATTTGTATTTGCTATCAAAGAAAAATAATCTCTAGTGATTAATAGTTTCCTCTTAGGTTATTTCTGGTTTTTAAATCCATTAGTTTAAGGGCACCTTCAAGATCTAAACATAAAACGTTAGCATAAAAATTCTTACTCCTCTTAGTCTTTTGTCTATGACAGGCTTACCATTATCATCAAATACTGTTTCTTTAATGAAAGTTTCATCTTCTTACTTTTTCTCTACAATTCTGGGTCTTGTTTCCCATAATTCCACAATTAAATCCCTTCTCATCCATTCTCTTAGCTCAAAGCTAGGTCTTTCTAAAAATCTTAGTTTAAATCCAAAATCAGTCTTTCCAATTCCTGAGTCTTTATCAACTGAGAAATTCTGTATCCACACCTTTTTCTCAGTATTTACTACTTAACCAAGATGATTGGTATAGCTCAACCAAAATACTGATGATTTTTCATAGTCTTATAGTGTGTCCAAAAGCTCCATCTTCTAGCAGCAATCTTCATTTAAATAGACTCCATCAATGTTTTGTAATACTCTAAATTGCAAATCAAATGCAAATTCTTCCTTTATTTCAATTATTTAGTTTAATGAAGGATCTTAAGCTTTTTTACTCTTCTTTTTAGGGCTATCAGACTCATTTAGTGTTGGTAGATTATCTAATATTTTCAGAAGTCTGAATTATTACTTGACGATATCTCTATACTTTGGTGTGAGTACCAATGGATTTCCAATCAGACTAAGCATTCTCAGGTCAGCCAGACTTCCAAACTAGTTTACAACGTTTTAAAGGCTATCTATCTCATTGTAAGCTAAGTCAATTGAAAATACACCGGTAAAGCTGATTGAAATTTGCTTTAAAGCATCATTGCAAAGTCTATTATATCCAAGACCAAGATGAATTAAACTTGGTGTTCTGATGTTAGAAGCTATTTCTGTTATCTAATTTCCAGTCAAATATAACTCTTTAAGATTAGGAGGAATGTTTTGCACTCTTGATATTTAATTGTAAGATAAATTCAGGACTAGTAGGTTATTAAGCTGATTCAATAAATCATCCATTTGCTGAATACCTTATCTTTGGAAATACAGAGAAACAAAGAAGTTAACAAGATAATCCTGAATGCAAATATCTGGCATCAATCCAAGCTTTTTTATATAAGTATGCAATTCAAGTGCCTCGTCTGACCTGTATAATAAATATAAATTGTATAATGGGTTACCATTTTTGTAACAGTTGCTCTTAAGGAGTGAGTTTTTCATCGTTAAATTCAACTTTTTCCAGCATTAGATTTATTTTATCTTATCTTTCCTAGAAAGTGGGCTTCTTTTTAACATATGAATGTTGGTCGGGATATATATGATGAATCCCAATATCTTCTTTAATAAATCTCCAAAAGGCTTGGCCAAAGGCACCGATGCCCTTCACTGAATTCATTGTCAATTTCAAAGTGCTCAATTCCATTTTAATTTATTTTATTAGAATTATTATTTTAAATTTTCTGCTATTTTATTAAGATATGGGGTTTTGGGGTTTTGGGGTTTTGGGG